TGTCCTTACACCCATGTTAGTAATTCAATTAGTTTGGAATGTAGTTTTTTTTTTTTGTTGACAAATATTAAACAGTGATGGTTTTGGGGTAATCTAGTGTTCCTTTGAAAGGGTATAGGTCAATGTAAACAGTTAAATGGGGTTAAACGTTCCAGCCAAACTCCGTATTGTTTGTTGTTAGTGATAACCTGAAAAAACATAATAATGCAAAAGCTAGGATGCAATGGGGAGTGTTGGACCAATGGTTAGAGCAGTGCGCTTGTGCCCTGGAAGGTTGCAAGTACACTGTTCAGTCCCCAAAGCCTCCATTCTGGGTTCCTGAGCAAAACCCTTAACCCCAAACTGCTCCCCGGGTGCCACACAGTGACAGCCCAGTGCTCCCCATGGAGATGGGTTAAATGCAAAGGTAAAATTTCTCCAATGTGAGATCAATAAAGTTCAATTATTGTTAAATGATATCAAGGTAAGATCTATGCAATGTTTGTTAATAACTTACTGTAACAGTTGTTGATTAATTTTAGCTGGTACACTTTCAATGTGTGTGTGTTAGTTTGTGCTTTGTTTTGGGGGGGGGGGGGGGGGGGGGGTTTACCAATTAACAGGTTAAACTTTGTGGTTGCTATGACAGCATGATTGGAAAGAGATCTCTGTGTTGGTTAATTGGTTGCCTGGTTGCATACTTTGTGTTGAGGTGGATCTCCATAACTTTTTTTTTTTTTGGGGGGGGGGGGGGGTTGTTTTAGTACAGTTTTGTCTTATGATGCTTTGTTTAATATGCATGAAGTTTTACATTTTATACAATTAACTTCAAGGGATTAAGTGATTTGGACTGTTTTTTATTGATGTTCCCACATGATTTTTTTTTTTTTTGCTGGAACCTGTCAGTCAGATCTGGCAACCCTTTCCATTTGATCATTTTTATTAAGACGCCTGCGAATTCCATCTCTGACGTAACATCTGTTGTTTTATGTGTTAGTAACTGACACAGTTCTGAAATTAACGCAATTAAATAAATAAATCAGCACATACACACACAAAAATGTCAGAAAAAAACACGTTAAACCTTAAAAGAAGATTTCAATCTGTCTATATCGAAAAATACATGATGCATATCATTAAATAAAAAAAAAAGTGACACAACTCTAGCAAATAAATTTTCATATAGGCCTATCGTTATTTTTGTTGCTGCCACAAGGAAATCAATTGCAGGAGTTTCAATACAAGTTAGTCAGAGGCTGCATTACTCACCAATCCTGTCAACATTGTTCAGAAATCTCTCAAAGTCTTCAGAGTTCTCCATCATTCTCTTCCCCAGCCTGTTTTTAATCGGGTTTAGCGGATATATCTGCCTCGATTTGGTGTAGAACCTTCACTTCTGGAGTTTTAGCGTTGGGTTACCATGGTGACGCAGAGGCTGTAAGGTCAGCGGTTAAATTGAATAAATTACTTTCTACCCGATACAAGAGCCATTTTTTAGTTTATGATTTCATCATCAATAAAGAGATTACGTCCCAAAAACGTATTTTTTTAATCCTCTGTCAAGCTCGTTGGTAAACAATAATAAAAACGGGGTGTCTGCTTTTCCTTTTTTGTTTTTCTTAATCTATACTGCCACCTTGTGGCTAAAGATGCATTGACCATTCCAATGTAATGTAATATTGAATGAAATATTCAAGTTAAAAAGGATTTCTGTTAAATTGGTTGCAATTTTATGATAATTTAGGACCTGTTCTATGGAGTGCCGGTTGTAAAGTTCAGCAGTCAAAAATTAGGAGCAATATTTATTGGCTAATATTTATTCACTATGTATTTAGTTTGTTAAATGAGTGTTTAATCTGAGCTAAATATTCATTTAACAAACTAAATACTTAGTTTGTAGCTAAATATTTATTTAAAAAAGTAAAAGTTTAATTTGCAAACTATATATTTAGTTCAAAGCTAAATATTTAATGAACAAACTAAATATTTAATATGCAAACTAAATATTTAGCTCCAAACTGAATATTTATATAACAAAGTAAGATTTGAAAAAAATGACTTGGGGGAGGGTGGGGGACAAAATAATTTTTTTCTTAAAACATGCTAAATAACCATAAATGTTGCTCCTAATGTTTGACAGCTGAACTTTCACTTGACTGCTTAATGATCACTTAACATGATAATTTATCCCTCTAAAATGATGACAATGCAAAAGTAAGGTGTTGCTGCCACAGGTGCCCTTTGTTTTTTATTAAATCCAGCTATATTAGCTATAATTATTGTGTTTGTTATTTTCCTGTAGAACTATGGCCCAGGAACACCTTATTTAGCTTTTACCAAATAGTCTTTGCATATCACTGTTCTGTTTTCTGCAAATCTAGATTGTTATGGAAAGCTCTGTGTTTACACCTTGAAGCTTTCTCTCTCCATTTCTTTTCCTGAGAAGAAATCACTCAGGACATACTCCTTAAATACCACTTCATAATGTACATTAATTAAATAACCATGAGACAGGATAACAAATTTTGACAGAAATTGTCATCTCACTCAGATCAGAAAAGTTGCTTTGAGTTACAGAAGGCAGCGCTTACGAACCAAGCTCACATCTCTTGCGAAGATTCACTGTAAGAGAAGCATTTTATACAACTCCAGTATACCACATCATTATATCAATCACATTTACAGATGAGGAGTTTAATATCAAAATATTTCAATCTGAAAAACTCACACGAAGAGAAAAGACAGTTAGGAGAAATGTATTGATACAATTACTTTGTCTTTGGTGCTCAGGCCTCAGCAGGAAACATACAGTAGCACTTCATTTTGATAGATATGGATGAACAGGTGCAAAGAATAGGGCTGTTTCCCCCCAGGCCCGAAACTAGTGGTGAAGTTGAAATAGATGAAGTTGGTCAGTCTATAGACTGCTGGTGGGAGAGACGGCGTGCTGAGCTTTATGGTCAGATCCAGTGGATTGCATGAGCTTATACTAGAGCTTCACTCAGGGACCTGGAAGATGAAAGTCCATTTGGATAACACAAGTTGAGAGAACCTGTCCATGATGAGCAAGCATGAAGCGACAGTGGAGAGGAAAAACTCCCCGTTGGGAAGAAACCTCTGGCAGAACCAGGCTCAACATGGCGGTCTTCTGCCAGAGCAGTTAAGATGAGACAGGGAACGCAGTAAGAGTCCGGGAAGAATGACATTCTGATGAAGCTTTAGGTACGAAGTTGGAGGAGGGGCTTGGGGTGGGTTGAAACGGTGTCATCTGAATGAAGTCAACAGGTCATCCGCTGCCCGCGCACAGGAGCAGACAAGTGCGTATCAGAGGCCTTTTAAGATGATCTTTGGATGCCGATTAGCTTTCGTGGTGGTGTGGTCCAAAGCTGATTGCCTATGTCGTAGGTAAATAAAGGAAAGAAATGAGTTTCTTCAGTTGAACTTCTGCCTAGGCTCCATTAAACTTTGTTCTTGGATCAAGGACACTGTTCTCATTGTATTCCCAAATCTTTGTCACATGCATAATGAAGATGATTGCTTTACTGCATAACCCGATAGAGGAAATTTCCTAATTAGATAAAATACTTGGGAAAACATTAGTTCTGACAGACAACAGGCAGGTAATATGATGTAACAGACTCACGGATCATTAATAACAATAATGGAATTGAATAAAGAGTTTCAATAAGACAGCGGTGAAAAACTTCCTAAAAATATACAAGCAGATCTGATAACCTCAAGAGTTATCCTCCAAAGATTAATTTGTATCCTTAAACCAGCACAGTTTAAAGACAAGCTGATCAAAGACGATGTGTTGTCCATTAGTGAACTAATGAGCCTGCTACAACTACCAGTGAAAAGAGTGGTGGTATTGTATTTCTGGAGCTCATGAGTACAAAGTAACAGATGCATGAACCCCCCAAAAGTTTTTCTACTGGGTAATAAAATTGAAACAAAGGGTTATGTTTACTTCCTGAAATTAGTCAAAAACAATCCAAAATGTGTTTCTGCAGATTCCGTTCATCAGGGTCTTCCCCCAAAATACATATCATTGTACTTTGGGAGATAAAATTTTGAAGATGAGGCTCTAATAAAATAAGTAAATACATGATCAAGGGATAATAGTGAGCAACAATGAGTTACTAGCCAAACATCACTCATGCAAATCCTGCCCAACTTGAAACTGGTAATCATACTAAAAAAAAAAAAACACTGTTAGAAACAAAAACAGTAAGGGAAAAGGTAGAAACCTAGCAGAAATACTGGAGTCCCAAACAATCATTTGAGACAAATTGCCAGGAAAAGAACAGGAAAGAACCAAGATAATTAATTTCCCCTAAACTGTTTTGAAAGAAGTGCAGATTCTTCAAATTATTTCTCCAGTTGAGGAGAGGCAGGTCATATTGTACTAGTAGGATGGGTAGAAAAATTTGCCGTTGTATGTGTTTTAACTGGAAGATTGTTAGAGTGAGGTTACTTCCTGGCTGACAAGAGATATGACTGCTGCGATCTAAACAGTTTATTTGTTCATAAATAACAAAAAACATGTTGTCAGAGCTGGTGCTACAACTTGCAAAAATAAGAGGCGGCTGAAAATATAGTCACTACAAGCAGGGTGAAAAAGAAAAAAAAAAAACTTCAAAAGCAGCTAGCAAACTATGCTTGTTGTTAGAAAAAAACATTGAGAATGAGAGCAGGGATACAACTTAAGGGGAGATAAAAAGAGATACACAAAGAGAGAAAAGATGTGGAGAAGAGAGAGAGCAGGAAAAATCTCACAAAGAAAAACAACACAGGAAATATGCAGTGGCTCCTAGAAGTCTGCTTCTGCACATCACGAAACAAGAGGGATTAAAAACAGGGGGAAAAAACACACTAAGCCACAAGAAGAATGAGTATCCCATAGACCAGTAGTTCCCAACCCTCCTCAGGACCTCCTGTCCTGTATGGTTTAGATATATTTATGCTCTGGCAAACCTGCATCAAATGATAGCAGTACATCCTCAGCAGCCATCAAAAAGTGAAAAGGGCCTCTTAAACACCCAGTTATTAAAGGGGCACACCGTTTTTGTTTTTTTTTTACATTGGCCCCTTGATTTTACGTTTTACATCATGTTCTACTCATCCATATTAGTTTTGTGCCATTTGGAGCTGTTCTGAAGATATTCCGTTGTTATATCCAAGTAACATGTTCATAACATGTAGGCGAATCACTGTCCCCCAGACATCCATGGATATATTTTTTATTTTTATGTTTTTTTTCAAACAAAGCAGAGTGTGTATGATGTCATCTGCCACCCGACAGGGGCCTGATCCAGAAGGGTCTGACCCCAGAGGCTATGGTGCTGATGCTCCACAAGACTGCAGCGACAGCAGTTGGTCACTCCCAAGCAGACCTGGAAGAGAGCCAAGTGGTCTGAGGCCCAGTGGCGCACAACCACCAAAGGAAGACCCCACAGGTACAGAAGGCCTAGGCACTGCTTAGCACCCAACAAGAATGTGACAATGCCTACTCAGGCACCAGTGGTAATTTCTCCTTAAATACTATGGAGGGTAAAAAAAAACGTTGTAAAATAATTGGTCAAATATGCATTGTTAAACGTCATAAATGTAGCCATTAAACTGCATTAAATGTGCACCAAAATGTGCCTGAAACCCCCATTGAGGCTTGAGCCTCTGAGAATTACGGTAGTGAGAAAGTAATGCATTGATTGGATATAACACAAAATTTCATCACTTCAGTGAGGCTAACCCCGAGGTTCCATTAAAAATGTAAGCGCCATGGAACATACGCGCAGCGGTGTCTTCCAGGCACCCTAATCCCCAAAAAGTGTTTGGAGAGCAGTCGGACCTGTGTGATCTGCATTATATTAGTCAAATACAGGAGGTAACCAGTTAAGGAGTAAATCATGATAAGAGTAAAACAAGTAACTCAAGCATACAAATATTTTTTTAATAAGACATTTCTTTTCACATTTTGTAGTTTTCAAAAGTGCTACCAAGTTTTTGTAGCATTTTATTTTTATTGCAAGCCCTCAGTATTCAGGGTCAAAGAATTGGGAGATATCAAGAATGTTTGATGTAATGCAGCTAAGTATGGTGCTGTTTTGTAGCTTTAGTACAGTTTTATAAGCTATTTGCACAGACAATATTTATTGTTTAGTGTACATTTAAATAGTTCTCAATTACACACTTCACCATGACCGCGGGAAGTGGGGGTGCTGGGGGTGCTGTAGCACCCCCCAGTGGTGAGAGGGAGATTTTAAAAGAATTTATTGAATAAAATACTTTGCACAATTTATAAATTTCTTATGAATATTTTAGAAAATTATTTTCCCGCTCGCAACAGCAGACTATTAATTTGACATAGTCTAATGACAGAAATGAGGAGTAAATATGGCACATGCACTGCAAAAAAGTGGAAATCTCAATAAGTTA